ACGAGTTCGATATGAAGATTCATAGACTCGAATCGTCACACACTACCACTGTGCTACGGCAGCCAAAAAGGACGCGCGTTGATATTCCGGCTGTTTTCACCGTATTATTTATACTAGTTAGGTAAATGTGCGCCTCTAGGCTTGCTCAAGGCCTAGAGCGTCACACAATCGTCTCGTTGTACGCATCGATTTTCTTCATGGAGTATCGGGTCCCTGACCCCGAAATCGAATGCATCAACTCTCCGTCAAACACACAGATCACCTTGTCCACCCTACTGAACGGATAGTTCTTCACCAAAAATTCGCAGCAGTGCTCCTGGTAAACCGATGAACACTCGTTTGCAAGTGTTTCCGTAATGAACGGTATCCTATAAATGCCCCTACGGAGAACATCACCAGTAACGATGTATAGTACGTAGTGACCCGTCTCCAATTTCTTCAAGTCATCGACCTGCAACATCTGCTTTCGTATAGGAAATAACAAAATGCTTGTGGCTCCGCAAAAACGGTCCCTAAAAGAAGCCGCCAAAATTAGGAGCTCCGAGGGATCGGGTGACACTTTTGAATTGCAGCTGCAGGGAGTTGTCCAAACCCTTGAAGTCAACGCGTGAGCTGTCCCGCCTGAGCCACTTGATCGTCAACTGATCCAGCTTCCCGATAGGTGGCCGAAACTCCTTGAATATGGGGAAACCGGTTGACGGAGTGTATATCACGAGGCTCCCGGCAGCACCGGCGAGGGCAATCTTACCGAAAGAGTTGGCAGGCATGCTGGTCACGAGCCCCATCTGAGTCTTCTGGTACGAAACCTCGTGAAAGTTGGTGCCCAGCTCGGGGCTGGTGAGGAAAACACAATGATCGCCGGACGTGTCCACATAAGCAGTCGATAGGAGAGCTTTAGCGTACATAGGATCGTCGGTCGAAACGACCGTGTCATTGAACGGTGTGGCATCGTTGCCGAACCCCAAAAGCCCGCTGCAGTTATCCCCGAGGTCGAACCGCAGCCTAAACCGAGTCACCGGGGCGGCAGCTCTGAAAATGACCTTGTTCTGGCTCGTGATGGAGGACACCGTGTACGGTGAGCCAGTACCATGCGTATAGATATTCAAGAGCCGCTGAATCTCGTTCGACAGGCCGGTAATATCGTAGTGCCCCTGCTGGATCTCGAAAGCAACGACAAAAGGAGCGTTGGACCCCACCACCTCTTCAAGGGCAAAGTTCTGATTCGATGTATCGACGTTGAAGGCCACATTCGGGACCTCTGCAGACAGCAGGTCACAACGGACGACATTGATCAACGGATTCTTAAAATACACCGTATACTCGTCCGTGTCCGGAAACCTGTCCTGGTCTCGCGCAGAAGAGTCGATGTCTATGATAAAAGTGTTGAACTCCAACTCCGTCGACGCCGCATGGCCCAGCCTCTGCCGTTCAAAGAGGGTATCCCTCTGCGGCATCGTCGAAGTCTTTGAGTCGTACCGGTGATGAGGGTGTAGATCCATTTCCATCAACTGCACATTATTACCCACGCGCTTCGGACGCACGGCGACGCTTCCAAAGAAGCTTATCCACCTGCCGCACGAGGCTCAACGGGAGCCCGGGAGAACCCAGCGTACCCCCTTCGGCAACCCATTGCCGAAGAGCCCTGCTCTTGGCCAGTTCGGAAGACGCGTGGCGGACCTCGCTGGCATAGCGCGTGTGCTCAAAGTAGAAGCGCATCTCGTCCATCACGTTCACCACGACCTCGAGGCTCCACTTACCCTCCTGCTCGATGAAGTCCGAGCACATTCGGGAATCTGGACGTAAGGTGAGCCCTCTCGCTGCCAGAGCATGCACGAGACCCGTAAACCTGGCCGACCGTCGCTGACAATGCACGATTGTGGCACCCAACGAGCAGCGACCCTGTATATAGTGGCTCATGTCGGCCAATGTGACGTGCGTCGTCTCCCCTTGCAGGGCCTCACAGAGGAGCCTGGCCTTGGGGGCGGCCTCGAGCACCGTCTGGGAGCCCGTGCTCACGTATCGGTGGAGGTACTGGTGGAGAACCGTCGTCACGTGACCGCTGCACGGCGGCATGGCGGCCTTGAAGCTGACGTAGCGCTCCACCCGAGCTCTGACGCCCTTCTTGCCACCCTTCCCGTTCCTGACGAACTCGTCGCAACAGTATCGGATGACGTCGCCGGGGTCGCAAGCGCCTTCGGGGTCGCACTCTGCGATCACGGCCCTCGCGAACGAGTCCCGCGCCTCCCGGGGGAGGCCTTTCTTCTTCCTCGACACATCCCTCGCATCCAAGGCGTCCTGAAGGCCGCGAGGGCCTCCGTGCTTGTCGAAAGCGATGGCAATCACCTCCTGCCATCTGTACATACGAATCGCGTTGCCGTACGTCGTATGAACAGTTTCCAACACCATGCACGGAAAGAGGTCGATCGGCAACAGCAGGAGACGTTCCCGACAGGCCGTGAAGCTTATGATACGTAGATATCTCGGACCCGTGCTGGACGTGCAGACGGGGCACGCATACAGGTCCGGATCGAAGGGATAGATCATTGTTGATCTACTTTTACATCCGTCGCACGTGCTTACCTGACCGGTCCTCCTGCTGAGCTCAATCCCCGCCTCGCAATGCCTCTGAAGCCCCAGTTGGTATTGGACCTGCCGAGCACGCCAGCCAGCCTGAGCCACGCTCCGGAACTCTCGGGAGACCGCGGCCATGGCCAACAGCATCTCCTGTTCAACTGGCGTATGAGCTAAAAGCAGGTCCGAGAGCAAGAGCTGAACTGCCGCCATTGCTATAACGTTCATTTGATTGCACTCGTTGCGTACGCAGCAAAAATGTATGCTTCTTTCAATGGATACCTCCTTCAAAGGCACCACCCTCAATTCCAACTACCTGATGCCCATCTCTGGAGCCGAGTACGGTTTCAGCACGTTTCCATGGGATTGCGATCTGTCCAGCGGAAACTGCTACTCGTATGCGCTCGGTTTCTCGCACGCGCAAGAGCAAAAGGCCCAGCCGTCCGACCTAGCAATGGCATATCCGGATCTGGTCAGAAATTTTGATCTCAGAGATCCTGGAGTCGACCTCCAGAGAGGGTGTCCGGACCTAGACAACTCCATCCTCGCGGACGGAATAGCCGCAGCGAGAATCCAGGACGGCAACCTCGGCACGAAACGGAACAGAGAATGGACCACAACAGAGAAGACAGACTGGAAGAAAGCCGCATCGCCTGGCTGGTACAAGATGTGCGCCGTCATCGGGGCCGAGGACTTCCACTTCCTCCGCCAGGACGTCCTGGACGTCTACGAGCTGTACTCAACCCAATTGCACGGGTATCATGAGGTCGCCTCGCCCATCGTTCAAAAATACTGGTTCGGAGGATCCCTCTGGCAGACGCAGGCCGGCGGCCAGGGCTTCTACAAGTCCAATGACACCCCCTACGACATACTCGGCGTACACCCGTTCACATCCAGCCGCTACTTGGAAAACATATTTCGGACTCGTCTCGCAACCCAATAAAGTACGGGTTGAAGGGAAGAAATCTGGCGCAGGCACACTCCTTCGTGTCGGGAGCGTTCAGGGTGGACCAATTCAACCCGAGCCTCAACCGGCCGAGGACTAACATAGATATTCACGTCTCGAGGCTGCCGGAGTACGTGTTGAAGGGTAATAATCTCATCATAGACCCCTTTTGGATCCTCGGCGTCGACCCATTCGTGAGCAGGTGTCTCGAAAAGGTCATGACTCGTCAAGGAGAGTTGCAAGCTGTGTACGCCAATAAGCCTGCGTACGCACTGCATCTCAAGACGGTGACAGACGCGACTCTAGACTGCCTGGAAATCCTCAGGAGGCGCAAGGTGATACCGCCGAAGCACGCCCTCATCGGGCCATGGTCTCAAAAGGCGGGGTTCGGGACGGGGGCATTCAACACGGACGGCAACTTCAAGCTCATCCTCGATCCCAGCCTTGCATGCCGCTGCCACGGTTCCATAAATTATAAGACAGTTTGCTCCGCGTTCCAAGTCTTGTACAATCATGGCCAGAGCGGAACGTTGTCAGAAGAGTTTTAGGGTTTTAGGGTTTTAGGGTTTTAGAGTTTCAAGGTTTTTAGGGTGCTGACAGTGCAAAAAATCTGAGGATCGGACCATGTGCCAGAGAATCTTAATTGATGGTTCAGATTTCCATAGACAGAACGGATCGTACCGACCTGCAAATATCTGCAACATTCAGAGCTTGTACGGGATGTCATTTCACCTGCCTGCCTCCTTTTTGCTTCACAACCTCTACCCTTTCACAACACAGCGGACACGTTGGGCAAAAATGGCGAATCCGAGGGGCGTCGTTCAGAGATACCTGGATAGATTGAAGACCGCCCTAGTGCGAGGCGGGGGATGGCGCAATCCTCAAATGTTCACAGATGTTCTCGAGATTGCCCACATGCTGAGGTGCATCAAACTGTCCCCAAGGTTGGCGCGCAGCTACTTTTGCATCTATCATGCATCGACGCAGGCGTATGTGATGCTGCCGGTTGAAGAAGCGCCGCATGGTAGTATTACCAAACTGAAAGAAGATGAGGCAGCCGATCTCAGAGACGATTTTGACAAAGCACTCAAGGGCGTCAATTCTCAATTGACGCACATAACCCTCATTCAGTTGGATACCGGCTACCAGCTGCAAACGCTGCTGTATTTCAGAGAGTCTTGCGACCGCTTGATGGAGGAAGAAAAGTGGGCTGACTATGTGGAGCTGCCCAAGCTTATTGCCAAAAGGGCAAAGCTGATGGGGCTGTCTGCGAGCAAGGGGGACATCACAATTAGCATTCATGTCCCGAGCAGAGAGCCATTGGTAGAGGAGTGTATCACACTTTCCAATGGGAAGAGGCCTGATGATGCAACGCTGAGGGTTGTCTTGACCAAGCACGGGCTGCCCGTCACCGAAAGTGCTGTGGAGGACTTGCTGGCCAGGTGTATCAGAAGTGTCGTGGTGAAACTGACAGAAGGTGCACGGGGTGCTGCCAGCAAGAATTGCCAAAAATGCTGCAAGCCACAAACAATAGGTAGCAAGAGGTTGATTTGCAGCAGGTGTATGCGCGCGTCCTACTATAGTAAGGAGTGCCAGCAGGCAGACTGGAAGAGGCACAAGCAGGGCTGTGTGATGGGTTCCGTAGCTGTCGTTTCACCGATGGCCTTTGCTAGAGACAAGGAGGAGTTTGAAGAGGCATACAACACAAAGTCTGTGTTTGGAAAGTAATTGTCCTAGTCAATTGTAAAGAACTGCTGCGCCTATTTTACGCTGGCTGTTGAGTCAACAATGTGCAAAAAGGCTTCCAGTCGAAAAGCGAGTCCTACATTCTCGTCTATGTACCCCTTTTGATTAGCAGTTACGAGCGTGCCTTTCATTCGAGTGCCGGGAGAATTGAAATGCGTGTGACCGTGCAGCCAAGCTACGACGGGTGATCCCATCAGATCCGGCATGTCAGTGCTGAATGCGTGGCTCGTCGGCGTTCCAAAGAACTTGGGATCTGACGTACCCTTCATCAATGGCGCATGGTGTGTGAGAACGACAGTGCATTTGCCTGTTTCTCTCGAACTTTCAATCTCCCGAAGGATAAATTCTCTCTCAACTCTATGCAGCTCATTGGTTTCCGCAACCGTAAAAGGCCGTGGAATTCCAAGCATGTCTTTGCAATAGATCAGCTTGTAATCGTTGATACTGCTCTCCACTGCCCTCTGGCAGGCGAGGGGTACATGAGTCCATAGCGTACATCCGATGATCTTGACCCCTTGCACTTCCAACACGTTGCGATCCAAAAAATGCACGTTTGTGTGTTGGTCGGTGATCTTTCGGATCTCATCTTTGACATCGTCATATATGCCACTGTAAAACTCGTGATTGCCGGCCACCACCAACACAGTGACGTACTTTGGGGCGATGTCTGAGATGAAACCTGCAAACTTTGCACTTCCTACCTTGCCTATGTCGCCCAGCAATGCCAGGTGTGGAGCAGTGACAGGAAAGGTGGGGAATCGTTTCAAAGTCATCTCCAAATGCAAGTCTGAAATAAACTGTATCTTCAAATCGTTCATCGCGCGCCTTTCCCCTATCACCCGTTAAATCGGGGGGCCTCGAACGCGAGAAGAAAAATGATGGTATACGGAAATGAGCAAACCGGAATGGCCGATTCTGACAAGTAAACAGAAAGAATGGGTGAGGCGGTTGTACGCTGTAGAGGAGAAGGTGAAGATTGCCGTACCAACATGGATGAATGGGCTGAAAGAAGATGACGCAAAGATCTTGAAAAGAATCATACAACAAGAATTTCTGAAATATCTGGAAGACGAGAGGGATCCCCCTCAAAAATCCAACGAATCCAGACCCCCGACATTTCGGGCCGATGCACGATCGCAAGGACCAGAAGATGGTATAGACCTCTCTGGTTGATCACCTTAAAGGTCCTATTTCAGTCGGGTTTGAGACGGAATTGGGACCAACCTCTGACCTTAACGGCACTTCGGTACGTCCACTTGAGATTTGCAAAATCTCTCGAGGGGGTAAAGGAAAAAATAGTAGTTTTTGAAAGTGCTCGGATGACACGCAAGTTTCAAAAGGTAATCAAGTTTGAAATGACAAACAACGGCCCCTGTAGAAAGGGCTTGAAAATCATGCTTTTTTCCCCCATCCGTGTATCTCCAAATGTCCACGCAATTGCAAGGCAGGTGACATGCAGCGACCAGTCCGTCTAGAATTCGGCATACATAGCAATCATCGGAGGTGACATGCACGCATGAAACGGACACATATGTGTCTGATATGGATCGAGTCGGTAGCGGAAGAGGTCATCAAGGTTGAATGGGAGTATCCCGTTTGGGCTATAAACAACTATTCAAATCCAAACTCCTCAGCAAACGTGGGCGCATCTACCACCCTTATGCCTAGGCTCCTCGCCTTGGACTCCTTGCCGGACTCCTTCACCTCCAGGTCCTTCACCACGACTATCGTGGTCTGTGACGACACGCTGGTCGTTACTCTACCGCCTGCTGCGAAGATGGCCTTCTCCCATACCGGCTCGCGAAAGCCGGTAAAGACTGCAACCATTCCCAGAAGACCCTCCTCCTGCTCCTGCTCGATCTCCTCATCGGGAACACCGAGAACAATCTGGGGGTGCTCCGCCATAAAGGCAGAGAAGGCGATGAAGCCGACGACCATGCGCTCCGCGGTGATGGATGAGAACCCGTCCAAGCCACGAAGGTCGCTCAAGACCTCTTCGCGGCGGCCCATGTCGCGCTCCAGAAGGTCTGGGAACGCCTTAAGGGCAGCAGCGAGGCGGACAGGGCCCACTCCGGTGCCGAAGCAGTTGGATGCCGTCAGGAGCTTGACCGGATCGGCGCCCTTGATGCCGGCTTGAATGTTGTTGACCAGCTTGCTCGCCAGCGTGAGGTTCACGCCCGGCATCGTCAGCAGCTTGGCCTCGTCTGCCTCCAGATAGGATGCCAAGGTCGTCATGCCGTTCTCGTAGAAGCGGCGGACCAAGTTTTCTTTTATGTTTTCGATCCCTAGCTCAACGAAGAATTTGACGATCCGCTTGCAGACGACGCCCTCATCATCGCCAAGTACAATTGCGTGGACGCGGTTGGCGTCCCAAACGAACTCCACCGGCGGCATCTGAGGTGCGACGGCCTCGATGACGCGGGTGATCTTCGGTATAACTGATCCGGACCTAATCACGTGGATGCGAGCGCCTGGGCCGATGCCTTGCGCCTCGATGAAGCGCGCATTTATCCCGGTGGCCACTTTCAGGATCACGCCTCCAACGTTCACGGGCTCGTAGCGCACTTGCGGGATCAGCTTGGAGTCCTTGGAGGCCTCCCAGACGACCTCGAGGACAGTCGTATCGCCTCCTTGCTGCTCCAGCTCCTTCTTGAACGCGACAGCGTACGTTGGGTTGCCGCTTGTCGGGAGCGCGTGAGCAGAGCCGCTGTCGACGACTATGCCATCTATCGCAAACTTTGACAGGCTGAGCCGCTGCGAGTAGTAGGCCTCCAAAATGCTGTCGCTCACTGCCTCTTCCACGCGCGCGGGCACGATTTCCAGACCACACGAGGTGAGGAGCTTGAGCTGATCCTGCTTTGGGAGATTGGGGAAGACTACCTCGTACGCCACAAAGTGCACCAGGGCCAGCTTCTTCATGGCTGCATCGTCCAGATTTCTCCGGTTGACGAGCCCAGACACCAGACTCCTGGCGTCGGAAGCGAGCTCCGGCTGAAAGTCGGCCTTGGGGACGATGAGCTCCCCGCGCACCGCAAACAGATCGGCTTTCGGCGCCTTCGGCAGGATGCGGAGCTTCTTGGGCAGCAGGTGGCTGAGGTGGGTCAGGTCCGTCCCTTCGACGCCGTTGCCGCGACTGAACATGGAGACCTTCCACTGCTTCTGGCCCGGATTGCGTCTCCAAACCACCAGCGCCGAAACGCCATCGAGCTTATCACTGAGGACGAAAGGCCCCGCGTTCCTGCCAGCCCACTTGGCCAGCGCTCCGTTCCCTGGCTTCACCTTGTCAAGCGAGTACATTGGAAAAGGAAGTGGAACTTTGGCACCCATCGCCGGCGCACCCACGGCATCGAGGACCTCCGAGCGCGGAGCCAGCGCGCGCAGTTGTTCTATTGCGGCGTCGAAGCTGGAATCTGACATTGTCGGACTCGCGGAGTTGTGGTAAGCGTCGGCGGCGGACTGAATCTTGTTCTCGAGGGCTGAAACTGACGTCATCGTGGAGGAGTTGGCCATGATTCTTGACTATTCTAGATCTCCTAACATCTCCGTAAGTATCGCATGTCCCTAAGCAACAGCGCTGCGCAGTGCATCCTCGGCATACCGCCACGCAAAACCTCGGGCAGTAAGGGCGCGCCCCCCTGCTACATTCGTGATAGTGCACGCAGAGATCCCAACCGTCTCTGCCGCTGCAGCAATACTGTCGAAGATAGCCAACTGCTCTCCGGTGATCAGATCGAGCTGCACCACGCGGCGATTTGACTTCTGATTCCTGCCCTGCTCAGTATCAGTGGCCCAGCGCAAGTTCTCGGCGCGGTTGTCGGATGGGTCTCCGTTGATGTGGTCGGGGGTATGCTCCGAAGAGGGAGGGGGTTCGAGGAAGGTCCTCGCGATGACGTCGTGCACCTTGAGGTCCCTCTTCTTATCGATCACGGCCCCAAACACCTTGTAACCGTGCTTGTCGCAGCCGTAGCTCCGCCTCCTTCTGGAGTCCTGGATCCTACCGCGGTCGCTGGCCTTGATATTGGGGAGCAGACCAAGGCGGCTAACGGCCTCTCGCCAAATCTCGCCAGGCAGATCGGCCTGCTCGGCCAAGTGCTCCGGGGTGTACGAGAAGACATAGTCGCCTGTGATCGTCGCACCCTTCAGAGACCTGTCGATGACTCCGTGACTGATCCCGAGCTCTCTCTCCACCGCTTTCACCGAATCGAACCGCAACCCGACTCCGTTTCCCGTGTGACGTGCGATGATGCAAATGCCCATCGTGATTCCCCGCTTCGTGCCCGCGTCGGGGTTGTCCGCGGCCGTCTTGCGCCTGTGAGCCTCCTTCGTCAGCTCCTGCAGATTGGACCAGGCGTCCCCACCTCCCCTACTCACGGGGACGATGTGGTCGCAGTCGAATCCTTCTCGGATGGCGCGTCCGAGGGAGAGTGCCAGGTTGAAGCGCGACCGTTGGACCTGCTTCCCATCGATTGTAATACGGTAGTAGCCATCGGGGTCAACGTAACCTTCGAGGACCCTGCCGACCTTGGCGCTCCAAATCTGCCCGTCTGGCCTGCCGTAGTGGGCCAGGTAGACGTGATGCTGCTTCCATTGATTGGATGGGGCTTCTTCCTGGGGTGGTGGGATGAGAGGCCTCTGAAGATTGGCTGCCTTTGCCTTTGTCTGAGAGAGCTCCTGTTGCTTCACCATCTTCGAAGTATACCTACTCTACCAGGGAACATAACCGTAAGCATTCGTACGCGCGGATTAGCCCGTGGCCATATCTCGCAATTTCAGTCCTTTGAATCCGCGACGCCTGATCCTATCTACAGTAAACTCGATCTGCTGAAATCCTCTCTTGGTCAAAGCGATACCAAAGGCGCGTGCCTTGAGATCGGAATTCATCTCCGCATTGAATCGAGCCAAAAGGTCCGCAGACGGAGCGACGAAGGTCGGCCCGATGTCGCAAAACTCTTTCAAGAACATGCGCATGTCGTCAAACTCGCGCAAGTACTCGTCGAAAGCGGCCGCCATCGGAGCCGGCAGCGGAGCCAGCACCTTCGCGGCCGGGTTGGCGCTTTGGCGAGCATACCATTCTACGCTGCCTCGCACGACCCATACCAGGCACTCCTCGGCTCCCTCCGAGCTCTCCAGCCACGTCTTGAGGTGCGTGGACTGCGGCTTGGAGTGAGGGTCGTTGGGGTCGACCTCCTCCGCGACCTTGTAGGAATTTCGGAACGGGAGGAGGGACACCCGGCGCAGGAGGCCGCCGTCGGCGTCGGCTATGCTGGGCTTGTGGTTGGTGAGCAGGACGTTGGCGTGCGTCGGCACGAAGCTCTCGCACTTTTGGAAGAGCTCCCGGCAGGTGACCGCACCTCCACCCGTCATCTCTTTGATGCAAGCGGAGTTGATGACCTGGCTCTCCTCGGACTCGTCGCATAGGGCCAGACGAGCGCCCTTGAGGGCAACGAGGTGGCTGGAGGCGGCTCCTTCGGCCCGCTTCCCACCGGCCTTGATGATGCAGTCCTTGCTCATGGGCGTGTAGTATGACCCGAACGCCTTCTGGAGAGCCATCTTGAGAGCGCTCTTGCCGTTGCTCCCGGCTCCATACCAGATGCAAAAGATCTCCTCGCTGGTATGACCTGTCAGAGCGTAACCGAGGAACAGCTGGAGCCACCGGACGATCGATTCGTCGGAGTTGAAGAGATCCATCACGAACGCGTCGAAGCGGTCCGTGTTGTGGCTCAACCCCATGTAACGTACGCCGGTCGAGCGGGTGCAGAGCTGGCTCGGGTGCGCGAAGCTCAAAATGCCCGTCCTCAGGTCGAGGACGCCGTTCGGACAGCCGACCGAGTCGATGTCGCAATCCATGAGCTTGATCATCTCGGGATCGTACAAGACGCTCGTGACGTAGTCAAGGCAAGCTCGGGCCTCCTTGGGGGAGTTGACGTTGATGCGGTTCGGCGGCAGCTCGGCGTCCACCTCGTCCCAGCAGGCCTTGATGATGGCCTTGGAGCCTCGCTTATCGAGGGCTGCGACCGTTTGGGCAACACTCTCGGTCCCGTTCACGAGGCCCTTCTCGCTGAGCTTGCGCTCGAAGCGCCGATCGCGTCGGGTGTCGTACCACTTGAAGAGCGTCGACATCTTGTAGGAGAAGGTGGTGACGACGCGGTTGGACTCGTCCAGCACCCAGACCCGGCCGTTCCAGTAGTAGAACTGCTTCTTGGGCCCGGTGACCAGGATCCGGCCGTCCTTGGCGAAGACGTAGCCAAAGATACGGCCGAGACCGCTATAGGAGTCTCCTACGTTCTCTGTCAGGAAGGCGATCAACAGGCGGAGCTCCTCGCCCTGCATCTGACGCACGTTCAGGACCGAGTAGTCGTCCACATCGTGCAGGGGCTCGCGGCAGGCGTCGAGCAATGAGGACTGTAGGGACAGATCTCCGAGGTAGCGAGGCGGTTCATGGCTGCATTCGCTGCCATGGCACCGCACATAGACACGTTTGCCCCTCTTGAGGCAGTTAAAGTTATTGCTGCCGGAATGCTGACGACCAAAGTAGCATTGCCTGGGCCCATGTACTCGAAAGCAGTAGTACGTGCCGAGACAGCCGTGCTCTACCGTGCCGCCAAACGTGCTCGTGGAATCGCCGGCCCGTTCTAGCAAGAGCTGCCGCATCTCGCGCACGATGGCACTCTAATCAACGACAGGGCTCCTCGGGGCCGATATGGGCTCGGGAGACAGCGGCTCGTCGTCGGGAGTGCCACCGATCAGAGGGGGCACCTCGTCCGACCCCTGGGAGTTGACCAACTGGATCAGCCACTGTGGCATGGGGTTGCAGCCACAGTGTGGGTCCCCGTTCTGCCACTCGTACGAGTAGGTGATGCCGTCCTCGTCCTTGTAGCTGCTGGGAGGGGCGAAGATGACTCCGCCCTCCCCTCTTCCATCGATGGCGTACCGCTCGCGTTCAAATTTCAGGCCAGCGAAATTCCGGCGGCGCGTTAATCCTGTAGAGTCGTTCCTCCGGAAGTAGAAATGCCGACCGTTCGAGCCCGTCTTGGCCTGGAGCGTGTCGGGCGAACCATGCTCGGCGACCAGAACCTCCCACAGGTCGAAACCCGACCTCTTGCCGGCGGAGGCCATGAGGTCGACGTCGAGGACAAACAGGTCGCTGATGCCCGTCAATATCGCGACGCTGTTCGCGTTCGGGCACTCCTTGATGACGTCTGCGATCTGGGCCTTCCAAGTGGAGACGGTGTCCAAGTTCTTCCACGTGCGTGGAAACTGCGACTTCTTCTTGCCCGAGGACAGGTAGATGCGGACTGGAATGGCGTAGAATTCTGCCCCTGCGAGGTCCCTGATCGTAGCCGTGATGGACGCCGTGGGGTTCATGGATCCTGATAAATACATAGATAATTGGTTACTTAATTGAAGCGCACTATCCTCCTAAGTACCCGTAATCCCTAAGCTCAAGCGCTGCGCAGTGACTCAGGACCGGGGTGCCTGTGGTGTCGAATCATGGGCAGACGCCGCACCAAACATATTGTCCGATATATAGGCCCCGATGTTGCTCTTGTCGTAGAACATGTCCAACGTTGGCAACAGCTCGACTTGCTTCGAGCCTTTCGCAGCTCGGGCGGCGGCCGTCGCCGCCTCTGCGGCAGCCATCGCGGCCGTTGCGGGGTCCAGATCCCTGTTACCCTGCTGCAGGCGCTTGCGCTTGTTCGATACATCGTCCTGACGAACGTAGAGCAGGGCTGCCGTCAGCACCAGCAGGATGCCAAAGAGCTGCAGCACGCTGATCAGCGGACTGAGGAACGCGATGAGGCCCAAGCCCAACAGAATGGGAACCAGTACTTTTGGGTCGAGCTTCATCGCCGCGTTCACCAAGGCAGAAGCGTCCATATGAATTGAACGAGGTTTTACTGCGAAGGCCCAGCTGAGGTGCTGGCCCCTCCACCTCCTTCCTCCGCCACCGCGTCGAGACCCTCCGCCATCACCTGACGCTTCCTCTCCTCAAAGTGGGCCTTGGCCTTCAACTGCTCGTCCTTGTGGCCTGCCATTATCGCATTCAACTGGGGGTCCTGATAGATCTGTTTGTCGATGACCTCTGGGTCCGGAGGCATGCGCAGCCAGCGGTAGCAATCCACTACGAAGATGTCGAAATTTGGATCCAATGCAATCAATCTCTTCACGTGCGCGTTCGCGTCTTCCAAGGTGTCAAAGGCCCCGCGGATCTTGAGGCCGAAGGTCGAGCACTTTTGAGGGCCGTTCGGGGTGGCGAAGCTCACGATCGCAAAGCTGATACCAGATACTTTCAACGGATCCTCATCCAGATACAGCTCGGTAGCCATGCCATCTGTGGGGAATTAAGTCAATGCCAAACGCACGCGAGGAGCACTTCGCCAGGCCCCCACCGGTGTTTTTTCTCTTGTCGTATTATATCGCTAAGATGGACCCACACCAAGAGTCGTTCGAGGAGAATTACGAGGAAAATTACGACGAAGACTACAACAGTGGCCTCTGCAGCCTCAGGCACGTGATCATAGTTCTGGCCAAATACGTCATCTACGGCCTGGTGGTAGCTGCGATAGTGCGCTACGCACCCGTGTACGGTGCGGCCATTTCGGATCAAGAGTTGGTAGTCATCGGCGCCGTTGCAGCTGGAGTAATCCTGATTGGTGAGAGGGTATTGCCAAAAACATCTACCCTGGCGCTCAAATTGCGCTGATATGTGTGCCCGTTTTTTTCCGTCCAAAAGCCATGGCTGCAGGCGATTTCAACATCAAAAAGTTTGACATGTCAAAGCTTCAGGACCACAAGACGGTCGTAGTCATTGGCAGACGGGGCGTCGGGAAGACGACCCTCATAGCCGACATACTGTACCACAAGCGGCAGATTCCAGCCGGAATCGTCATAAGCGGCTCAGAGGACGGCAACGGCTTCTACCGCAAGTTCATACCAGACAGTTTCATATACGACACCTTCGACGAGGAGATCATCAAAAAACTAATCGCCAGGCAGAAGAATCTCACGAGACTCAAGGTCAAAGACTCCAGCGTCTTCCTCCTCCTGGATGACTGCCTCTTCAAGCAAAACATCATGAAGTCTGACACCATGCGCTATCTATACATGAATGGCCGCCATTTCGGCCTCATGGTCATCTTGGCGTCTCAGTACATCATGGACATACCTCCACCCGTCCGATCCAACATTGATTACGTCTTCATATACAACGACCCGATCCTCGCCAACCGTAAGAGGTACTACGACCACCTGTTTGGCGTGTTCAAGACGTTCTCACAGTTTGAGGCGGTCTTCAAGGCGTGTACCAGCAAGCACGAATGCCTCGTGTTGGACAACACCGTCCAGAGCACGGAACCGACCGATGCAATATTCTGGTACAAGGCAGACATCCACGAGCACTTCAAGATCGGGGCGCCGGCATATTGGGCACATCACAATCGCACGTACGCAGATTCAGAGCTGCAAAAGAGAAACGAGGTCGTTGTCACCAGCAACGGCATCAGGGTGCGCAAGTCAAAGTGAAATGCCGAGGTTGGGAACTCGGAGGGTCGATTTGTTGGAATATAGCGGGAGACGTCCGCTCTCCGTGATCTGACAAACGCAATTTGAGCAGCGCGGATTCAAAGACCTGACGCAAGCCGTGCGTACGAATGCTTACGGTTATGTTCCCTGGTAGAGTAGGTATAATTCGACAATGGTGAAGAAGCAGCTCTCACCGACCAATCATGCCATCTACCAGAGGGAGATGAGGGCCAAGGCAAAGGCAGCCAAGGGTCCCAAGCCTCTGATCCCACCACCCGTGCTCCAGGGGTGGCAACAGCACCACGCCTACCCGGCCTACTACGGCAGACCAGACGGGAGGGTCTGGAGCGCCAAGACCGGCCGGGTCATCGAAGGTTTCAGCAGATCCGATGGCTACGGCTACATCAAAATCGACGGGAAGGACGGCCCGAGGTCTCGTTTCAACCTGTCGCTCTCCCTCGGACGCGCCATCGAGGAGGGGATGGAGTGCGACCACATCGTCCCCGTCAGTAGAGGAGGTGGAGATGACTGGGCCAACCTGCAGGAGCTTTCAAAGCCGGATCACAGGCTCAAGACCGTCTCGGACAACCCCGACGCGGGCAAGAAGTCGGGCATCACCACGGGCATCCCCATCGTCGCGCGCCACGTGGTTACCGGAGTCGAGACCAGCTTCAATTCGGTTCGTGATGCGGTCAGAGAGCTCAAAATCCACCACACTGTCATCGATAGGTATCTGAATGGCCTGACGAGCAGGGGCGACTACGTCTTCTCATATACTCCGGAGCACCTGGCCGAACAGGCCGACCTGCCCGGCGAGACGTGGCTGGAGGCCGTCAGCAGCTGGGGTCTCGTCCCCAATATCAGGGCCAGCAACCGCGGTAGGATCCAGGAATCCAGAGGAAGGCGGAGCTACGGCAGAGATCAGCACGGCTACAAGCGATTTTCGGCCACGATCGATAAGAATGAGAGGGACCTCAAGGTGCACGACGTGATCGCCAGGACCTTCCTCGAGCCCCCTCCCTCGTCGGAGCATACTCCCGACCACATCAACGGAGATCGGTCCGACAACCGCTCAGAGAATTTGCGCTGGGGCACTCCGACGGAACAAGGCAGGAATCAGAAGTCAAATCGCAGCGTTATCCAGCTGGATCTGATCACCGGAGCGCAGTTGGCGGTCTTTGGTACCATCGCTGAGGCCGCAGAGGCTCTTGGGATATTTGCAAGTAATATCGGCAATGTAGCAGCGGGCCGCCGACTCGCTACCGGCGGATTTAAGTGGATTTATTCAGAGGCACTCCACACTTAGGGACATACTATACCGAGATTGGGAACTCGGAGGGTCGATTTGTTGGAATATAGCGGGAGACGTCCGCTTTCAGTAATCTGGCAAAGTGCAGAATGTGCTGCCATCTGCTCCGCTGCCTTCTTCTTACGATCGATTCCGCGGCCAAAAACCCTCCCACCTATGCTCACACTCACGCGAAATTGTTTCACGTCGTTGCCGTCTCCTCCAAAGTCCTCCACGGCATACATCGGCGTAAACATGTCCTGCCCGATATTGTTACTAGACATGTTTGCGTACATTCCCTGGAGGTGCCGCATCAGAGACTCCTTCCAATTCGTGTCTCGTTCCACCTCCACGAAATCTACGCGTTTCAGAAGATTGTAAATGAAATTGCGACATGCTGAGATCCCACAGTCTTCGAATAAGGCTCCGACCAAGGCCTCGAAAGCATCCTCAAGCTTGCTCGGGTTCAAGTTCCACTGCCGTTGAAGGGCCTTGGAATTCATCATCAAGAATTCCTGAAGCCCGAGCTTCAAGGCCCACGCCGACAACGCCTCACCGCATACCAATTTGGTGCGAATCCTGGTCATAAACCCCTCATCTTCACCGGTGTACCTATCGAATATGTACTTTGTGACGATCAATCCTAATACGCTGTCGCCCAAGAGCTCGAGTCTCTCGTTGGAGCCTTGGGCTGCAGAGTACTCTTTCAACGTGCTCTTGTGCGTCATAGCACACACGTAGAGGTCCAAATCAGATATCCGAATCCGGGGGAAGTCGTCAGAATTGAACATGTTGAGCATAGTCTCCATGGACGAGCGAGTAATGCCCCGCTCGGCCGCAAACGTACTAATAGAAGGCACACACACCATACCTTGTATATACGTGCACAATATTTCTAGTGCAACGGACGCACTTTTCAATCGCTGTTGTTTGGGTCCGTATCCGTGGCCCATCAAAATCCGTTGCAAGCACACATACATTGTACAAACCCAGGAGGACCTACGCTTGCACTAGGCACCGGCGTAGGTGCCGCGCTGGGAGGAGCAACACTTGGGGGCGCGCTAGGAACTCTCGTAGGTGCTGATCCAGGAGCGACGCTTGGGGCCGAGGCGCTTGCGCTAGGTACCGGTGTAGGTGCCGCACCGGGCCCAACACTCGGGGGAGGCGCGCCAATGCTCGGGGCAGCGGTAGGTGCTGATCCAGGAGCGACGCTTGGGGGCGCACTTGTGGGAGGCGCGCCAGAGCTCGCCACCGGCACACCAGGAACGCTACCAGACAGCCTCGCAAGGAGACCGAGGAAGCACCCCAAGGTGTACGTGCTGGGCTCAGACTGTTGAAATTCGCTCCTGACGTCCAAATAGCCATCCGACGCATCCGGACCGCCCACGATCGCCCCAGCAACGATGGTAGGGTTGGGTTTTGGTGTCGAGAAGAATTGGAAGCCGCCATCGCAGGTGTATTCGATCCCGTCTTGGGGTATGGACGCAGCGCGATGGTGGACGTGGGTAGGATACGATGCAGTGAAGCCGACCATGTAGCTCAAGCTGAGCGGGTTCGACCCCAATATGTAGTCGGCCTGCCCCTGGCTGTAAAAAATCAACTCGAAAGCAGAGTAGGCCCGATCTGGACAGGTGACGGTGGCATTCCCTAGGTGGTCCGCATAGGCCGCGATCAAGAAGGAACTGCTCGTGACGTACTGCAACGGGCTCCATTCGCGCAGCCAAGCGAGACCAGCCGGCGTCTTTTGCACACCGTTGGGTGCCACGTAATGGCATGCGAAGTCGTTTGCAACCTGCCTGTAATGATCGAGAGGGACCGAAGCGCCAGGTGGAGCCAGCTGGCTCCAGAGAACGACCGCTCCCGCTAGCTTGCTGTCCCAGCTGAATTCGGTGACGGCGTTTTGCCACCCCAGCGACGGGTCAGCGAAATTCGGGCCGGTTGCATACCGGAGGTAGACCGGATCGGACGTGGCTCTGAACAGCCAGGCCGAAGCCCACAGGAGCTCGTCGCCGTAACCAGAGTAGGAGTTGTAAAAGGCTGCTGCCTGAGGCACCGAAACCGCGTAAGTTAAACGGTACTTGTCTGCAAATTGGAACAGGTGCGCGGCTTGAACCAGCAAGGTCTGAGAGTATGCAGGGTCCGACGTTCTGAAGACAATCGATGCCGCAGCGAGGGCCGCTGCGGCCTCTGCTGCAGGTTCCGTTCCTGGACTGGTGACGTTCACTGCGAAAGAAGGTCTCGGTGTGGTCAGGTTCTCGGGCCTTTGCCAGCATTTATGGTCTATGTTGCCGTCTCCCACCTGTACGTAAAGCTCATTGGGGGATGCGTGCGCCTTTATCAACCAGTCAGTGCCCCACCGGACGGCGTCGGAAGCCGGCGCGTAGTTGGGGCCATACAACGTGCCATACTCTACCAAACCGTACGAGAGCATGGTCACGGTGTAGGCGAGAGGGAGGCCGAAGAGGCAAAAGTCTCCAGAGTCGAAATAGCCCTGCGTCAGGTCGATGCCGTGATCAGCGCCGTCGCCGAGGCAAGAGTCACTGCGCCAAGGGATCGGTTGCTCCGGAGGGAGCTTCCCGCTTCGCTGCGCGTCGAGAAATAGTAAGCCCGTCGAGAGGGCAGACTGATAATCGATGCTCGGGTGAGCTGAGCTGAGTTGCCCTAAACAAATCTGACCAGCAAGCAGTAGGACGAGGACGTTCATCGTTGTATTGTGGTCGAGAGAACGTTTGGATCACACGTACGCGCTCTCCAAAACGGAATACATGGAGAATCTCTTAGCAAATCAGAAGGTGGCGGCCGCTAGCGTCGGTTTGGAGGCTGAGAGCCGTCGGGAGCTGTTGTTGGGGAGCTGAAACGGATCTGGAACGTTCGTGCCAGTGGACGTTCTTGAGCCGGTCGTACACCGCGACGATATCGTGGCAGAGGTCGCAGTACGGGATGGTGGTCAAGGTCGGGTCCGTCCGGTGCTCGCCCTTCTCAACGTGCTCGTCGCACAGCTTGAGCGTCTTGTCCACGATGACCCGTTCGTTTGGGCCGTATCCCGAGAAGGTGAGCCGCACCAGGCCGTCCCGCCCGATCAACCAGGTCTTGACCTTGACGCAGCCAGCCGCGAGCGTCTGCGAGATCGCGGCCGGTGTGAGCGAGCCTATCCTAATTGCTGCAGCCATGGATAGGGCTCAGATTATTCGTCGCCTCGAGCGAGCGCGGGTGGGAGTTGAACGAGATGTTATTTCACTATGTGGTGAACGAGGCCAGCATGGAAGACGACAGCTCCTGTACCCTTCTTATGCTTTGCGAGCAGGCGACCGACCGACTCTGGTGTTTGCCGACCTTTTGTGAAGACCAAGTGCCTCTCGAATCGATGGCTGCTTCCCAGGTTGTGAGAAATCGACATCTTCTTCATGAGCGTAGAGGCCTTCTTCACACCCACGTTGCCCGTCAGCTCAACTCGTATCGTCTGTGTCGACCGGCCGACCACACTCACGCGTCCTCTCTGAGCTCCGACGATCTTTGCGAGCTCGCTCCACTGGTTTTTTCTTTTCGGACGCCTTGCTCGCTGCGGTGCTGGGCTTATACGCTCTAGGTCGTATATATGCCCACGCAAGTCTGATATGCGCTGCTCGTTGGCAACCTTTGCATCTCGTAACCCCTTTACCCGTTCTACAAAACTCCCCAACTTTGCAAACCTATCCTGCAGCTGTTTGTTCAGTGAGAGACTCGTCTGCAAGATTGACATGTCATCCATAACATACTGATTATTTTTGCGTCACATTCTGCCTAAAGAGCTCTTGACTTCTCACGTTTCCTGGTGGTGCAAAGTTCATGACGTAGAAATAAGATCCGTCCGCCAGCTGAGACACACCCGCGCCGATATTAGTACTCGATTTCCAGACCAGCGCCGTCCCATGACCCGTCGTCGGACTGAAACTAGGAGAATCATAGTTGTACGCGTCCAATTCTTTTGCCCACAGTGAGATTGCGGTCTTGAAGTCAGCCTCCTTGGCCCAGACCTTTGCGAGGTTTTCTCCGTAATTCGAAGTACCGCTGTGGGCATATCTCTTACGGTCGGCCCAGGCCTGAGATACGGAGGCGATGCCTGCATCCCACTGCACTGCTGGGGCACTGTGACTCCTCCTGAAACTGTTTACATTGTTTAAAAGGGCGCCTACGTCTATGGACATGCTGTGCTCTCATCACAGAAAATAACGCCTCTCAAGTATACACGCTCCTTTTGGGTATCAGTTCCCGGATGTTCCTCACTCTCCGAACTTGGGGAGGGGCATCGGGCTCTACGATTTTGGGGGTGCGCGTTTCTGTCGCTACGATTGTTGGGGATGCGTGCGTTGCAGGAAGCTGGGCGGGGCTCTCGACATCGGGTGCTACGATTGTGGGGGGTATTTGCGTCACAGAGAGCTGGGCGTCTCGGATCGTGGGGCCCGCCTCAGGGATCTCTGGGTAGGTCAGGATGTCTGACTCGCTGTCTGGGTAGGTCAGGATGTCGGATTCGCTGGGGGCGTCACGGTAAGTGGGTGCGTTTGACACTTCCACTTTCTCTGGTACATGAGGCGTTAAAGGAGTGGAGGTGGTTGCTGGGGAGTGGAAGCTCTCCTCTTTTTCCTCTCGAACTGCCCGGCTGCGCTGTTGGCTAGCTGTTGGCTGCGCCGTTGGCTGGCTGTCGGCTGCGCTGTTGGCTACCGCTGTGGGCACCTGGTCTGCCTCGGCAACCCTGGGACCAAGACAATGGCCAGCTTGATCAAAAGGTGCTTGAGCATTCGGATCGAACCAGGAAGGGAATACAAAGTTGGAAACGTCTACCTTGACTTTGGCATTAACCAGATTAATGGTGCAACTCGTCGATGAAACTTGAGAGCAGATAGGCGTGCGCGTGTCCTTGTTGAGCTCGTGGAAGAGCTCGAGCACCAGACGGCTGACCGAGACGCTGACGGAATTGCCTGTGGGCCCCTGTAGTAGGCCTCCCTTTTGCTTCAAGACATTTTGCACAATGAGGCTGCGTGAGGGTCTCCCATCATCTTTCCAGCCGGAAACCTGATGGACGTTATCTAAGATGAACACCGGAAATGTTAGGGCGTCAAGAGGGCCCAACATAGCCAAGTAGACGAGTCTGGCACGAGGCAAGCCCCAAGCCTTGCACATCAGCCGCAACTGCTCCAAGCATGCCTTGTACATGTGCATCCCAATATGGGGCTTGACGGATTCTGAGAGGTTGATGAGGGCGATCGAAGTCATTGATCTATGATGTTGACAAACTTTTTTGTGCATCACACACATGTGCAACTGCAAAGTTTCAGTTGACTCTCGTTAAAGCAGACTTGAGCTGACGATGTCGGAGCGGGGGTTGTGGGAGGAGGCGGAGGTGGAGGAGATGGGACATCAATCGGTAGAACTTCGGGCGGCGGCGTGGCTGGAATCGTTGGAGCTGGGGTCGTGGGAGGTGGAGGTGGAGGAGATGGAATATCGATTGGTAAAACTTCGGGCGGCGGCGTGGCTGGAATCGTTGGAGCTGGGGCCGTGGGAGGAGGAGGTGATGGATCAGGGGCTGGGGCAGGAACCGGAACAATGGCTGGAGCAGGGGCTGGGGCAGGAACCGGAACAATGGCTGGAGCAGGGGCGGGAGTGGGAGCCTCTGTGACATTATCGCATGGGGTAGGTGTAGGTGTTGGGGTTGGTGTCTCAGTAATGTTATGGCAAGTCTTGTTATGAGCGCATAGCAAAGACCTCCTCGGGATTCCAGCGAGGGCAGGGCCAGGGACAGATGCACACATGATGAGGCAGATGACCAGCATGTGACGCCTCATGATTCTTTGCTCTTCTGAGAGAAAAAAATACGATCCATGAGACGCGGGAAAAATGTCAATGTATACAAAGATGGATTTCAACTACGCTGTGGCACTCGCACTGGCATGCGTGTTCCTACTAGTCTTACTGCTGGAGCTAAGGCCAAACTCACTGGAGATGTACACCCCTTGGAACCGGATCAACTCCACTATCTACCAGCGTCATATTGCAAGTCCTGGAGTCTGAGAGTAAATGTCCCCAGCTTTTGGAAATCTCATCTCGCTCTTGAAAACCAGGCAGTTTATCTCATGTGCTAGCTCTGTAGCCAAACGATATGCACCCCCGTCGTTCATCTTGCAAGGATGCTCTGGGAGGTCCAATACATTCCCCTCCCAGTCGCATCCACGCTGAAAACCGGCAACCATCATCTTCTTTTCACACACCCTGGATTCGCAGACGCCTGTGTGAGCCTCCATCTCTCCTCTCACGTACCTGCAGACAAACAAGAACCAATCAAAAAGCGTTGCCTACCTATATGAATTCTGAATTTGCAAAATTCTGAAGTGCAATACTGAAGGCCATTGAGAAGGGAACGCCACTTACATCACAGCACAGCCTGGCCGATGGCACATGCTAAGCATGGCGTCGCTCCTCGTCTTTCGCTTCATATCAGCAAGTCAATGAAAATATCTTAGTCTGAAAGGCATCTGAAGAGGGCGTGGGCGTCATGATTATTCGACCGGCGACTGCATTAAATCGCGTAATGATTGATCGACCGGCGGTTGCGCAAACGGTATTATGCATCGGCCGACTGACTGGGAACCTTTAGGTCTCAAAAGACCACTCATTCGGGACTTCCGGGGAGGATTTGAACTGAGGTGAGGCAATGGCGTCCGCCTTTGACAGCCTTCCAGTTGAGCTAGTGTACGCCATTGCTACCAAGGTAGACGCCAATGGAGATATGGCTTGCTTCCTGTCAGCCCTTTGTCAGCCAGGGCCAGTCAAGGACTCTATTCAGGTGATGGGGCTCAACAGTGTCACATGCAGAGACACTGTGAAGCTGAGAGCTGTTGAATTCTCACACAAGCTGGTGGAGGTGGCCAGCCCAATCTTCCTAAGAGGTTGCTGGTCCTTGCTGGTGGCAATATTCAGGGGCAGAGACCTGGCGAGGACTGCTCGCAGCGGGACGTGGATGATCGATCAACACCTAGCACCGGTGGGGAGAGCGGGGAAGATCGGGGGGCACCTGCTACGCCCATCGAAGCGCAGGAAGCTGCTCCTCTCCCAGGTTAGCGTTATTTAGTAATCGTCCATCATGACCATGCGAACGTTTTCGTCGTCGGCATACGTCCTCAGCCAATCTAACACCTGCGTCGCTTCTTCTTTAGCCTCTGGGTTTGAATGCGGAAACAATTCCCAAGTCTGTCAATCCTATCGTATGCATCCTCGACATCGGATTTTGATATCTCCCTGTACATTCGGTCGTTATCAAACCGGCGTACGAAGTCGGTTGTGGACGACCCAAGGTAAAAACCCTTTATGTTCCAATCGGAACTCCATATAGGATTTTGATTGTTATGCTGAACGTCTGTGTATCCCACGAGCAATTGTGAATCGTACAGGCCACTGGCAAACATCTTGCACTTTGGGCACCAGTCCTTAGAGTGAATATCGTGGTATAGGTACCTAGCCGAGACAGTGACTACTCTCTTTTGCCTGCCAAACAGTGCCGAGTAGTTCACCGGTCTCTGCTCGTAGTCTATCACGTCCTCTCGGTGAACCTTTTCGTAGATCCATTCATTGATCTCGTCTTCTTCTGGCTCAAACTCCAGGTTCATACACAGCTTTTTTGTAGCGTCATGGGAGATCTCTCGGGGAACGATGTACCATTTCAAGCTCCTGCCCATTTTGTCTAATGGTCAGAAGAAAACATGTTCACCAAAACGCAAGAAATCTTCCTGCAGATTCGGGTGACTTCGACAGACATCGACAGGAATGACTTTAGACAGCAGCTGGAGCTGGGCAGAGAAGAGAGCCGGAAGGACGTGAGCCATAAGTGCCTGGAGTTTGGGGGCCTGCGGGTGCGAATTGATCGGCTCTACACGCTGGCAACCCCGCCCGACTTGGACGTGGTTCGCGCGCTCATGACGTCTGACCAGAGTTGTCACCCGGGGCCTGGGCTTTCTTTAGATTATGAGCAGAGCATACAAATGTACCTTGCGCGCCCCAACCTCGAGGGCGGCCCGCTCGACTCAGAGTCAGAGCTGATCGCCGTCATGCGAAACGTTTCCATACGGCTCACTCTCGTGTGCTACGGGTGCGCAACATGTAGAGAGGATTCGTACTGGGCGGAAGTCGCGGTGGAATTGTTCTTCAGGCCCGAAGTCTGTGGGATGTGCTTTAAGGAGGAGTTTGAAAATGCCATCCTAGTCGATTCGGAGCTTGACGCATCGATCACCAGGATCAATTCATTCGGGAGGACCGGAGGACAGCTCGAATCCCTCGTATACAACGACGAGGATGGAGAGGGAGTAACATGGTTTCATCCGATTATCAAGGGCATCACCGACGACTACTATCCAGCTGGCGGGCTCTTCAATGAAGCGCTCAAGAACGGAGGTGTCCTCCAGAGGCTGGAAGTGTTTGTGGGTGGCGCAAAGGTGCCAGTAGCGACACTGCATGGAAATGCGGTGGCTCAAGGGTCGAGAGCAGGGAATCTGTGGGCCAACAACGTAGGGGAGGCTTTCTTCTGGTCGTCCGTAGATGTCGACGGAGAGCTAATCCGCGTACAGTTTGGATTCTGTAATCGTAGCGATATAGACAGCACCCATATCCCGTCGATGAGATTCTTAAAGTTTATTAGGCAGAACATGGGTCCGTGAATACTATTCTTTTAATACATCATCAATCATATTGTGGCATCATGGTTGTCTATGTCCCTAAGTGTGAAGTGCCTCTAAGTAAATCCACTTGAATCCGCCAGCAATGCGTTTAAGGCCTCCTGCTACAGCGCGAATATTGCTCTCTGAAATCCGAACGGCCTCTGCGGCCTCCGCTATGCTTCCGAAGACCACCAAGTGATGTCCGGTGACCGAATCCAGCTGGATGACGCGGCGATTATTACTCTTATTCCGGCCTTGCTCCGTCGGAGTGGCCCAGCGCAAATTCTCCACGCGGTTGTCGGAGGGGTCTCCGTTGATGTGGTCGGGTGTATGCTCCGAAGAGGGAGGGGGTTCGAGGAAGGTCCTCGCGATGACGTCGTGCACCTTGAGGTCCCTATTCTTCTTATCGATCGCGGCCCCAAACACCTTGTAACCGTGCTTGTCACAGCCGTAGCTCCGCCTCCTTCTGGAGTCTTGGATCCTACCGCGGTCGCTGGCCCTGATCTTGGGGAGCAGGCCCCAGCTGCTGACGGCCTCCAGCCACCTCTCGCCAGGAAGGTCGGCCTGCTCGGCCAGGTGCTCCGGGGTATATGAGAAGACGTAGTCACCCCTGATCGTCTCACCCTCAGAGACCGTTCGATGAATACGTGATGGATTTTCAGCTCTCTGGCCGCCGCAATCACCGAATCGAAGCGGGTATCGTCCCCGGTGGCCGCGTGGCTCGCGATGATGGGAACGCCCATGGTGATCCCACGCTTCGTACCTGCCTCAGGGTTGTCCAGGGCCGTCTTGCGCCTGTGAGCCTCCTTCGTGAGCTCCTGCAGGTTGGACCAGGCGTCCCCACCTCCTCTACTGATGGGGACGATATGGTCGCACTCCATGCCCTCCCCGATGGCTCTCCCTTGGGAGAGGGACAGGTTGAAACGGGACCTCCTGACCATCTTCCCGTCGATGTTGATGAGATTGTAGCCGTTGGGGTGCAACGTACCTTGGAGGACCTTGCCGAGCTTGGCGCTCCAGATCTGCCCATCGGGCCTGCCATAGTAGGTCTGGTAGGCGTGGTGCTGCTTCCATAGCGTCGTGGCTTCAGCACCCTGGGGTGGTGGGATGAGAGGCCTCTGAGGCTTGGGACCCTTGGCTGCCTTTGCCTTGGCCCTCAGCTCCCTCAAGTAAATCGCATTTTTGGTCTGCGATGGCTTCTTCACCATCTTTGAATTATACCTACTCTACCAGGGAACATAACCGTAAGTATTCGTACGCGCGACTCACGTGCGCTTCAAATCCTCCGCGGCGGTCTGCTCAAATCCGCGTTTGGTCAGTACGAAAGACCGACCTTTAAGGTCGGCAATCTTTGTCAGTGAAGTGACAACCGGACCTTCACCGGACCTATTGATCGGCGAGCCTTCCGAAATCATCTCATCAGAAGAAGCGTCGTGCACCTCCAACGCCTGCACAACATGGTCACACAGGCGCAACGCCGCGTCGCGCTGCCTGACTGCCACAGTCTTCAGAGCCATGCTATGAAGCCTGTGCGGAAAAAATGTAGCACATTTCGATCGCAGAAAGCAGAGCATGTCTTTGGCCCCCGTGTTTCGAGATACATCTACGATACTCTCTAGCAACCAAATCGGGCTGGCCGAACAGGTGGCCAACGGCATGTGGCGTCTGCTCGTCAGGGAGGGTAAGGCGACTTTCATACCGGCACGGGACCTCGAACGCATTCTGAAAAAAGAGGTCGAAAGAGTTTTTCGAGACCCCTCATATGCCGAGTGCATACCACAGGACGCTACAGGAAGGCAGAGCTTTCATGACCACGTGCTGCGGACTATTCTCCAGTTACGTGCCGACAGTGGTGGTTATGTTGCATGGGGCGCATGGGATGAGTTAGTCGATGATCTGAGATCTCGGTATGATCTGACCCCATCGGCAGATAATATGTAGATACATTGTATGAAGTCATCATCTCATGTAGATTTTTCATCCTTCTTTGCTGTCGATGCCGGCCACGAGTATACTATCTGTAGGTCCTTCTCAGAGACCCTAAAGATCGTGAGAGAACTCGGCTTGGGAACACGCTTCAAACGTTTTGATACGTACATGGATGCATTGAGCTGGGCACAGAAAGATAGGAGAAAAGACCTAGAATTTTCCGAGGATGGGACATGGAATGTCGTCACCGTTTTTTGATCTCGTACTTCAGGCAGCCATTAGCATGGCCAGTGAAATGCAGCTATCTTTAGGAACTATTCATCAGCTTCACGCCATAGGACCGCAGGACAAGCTCATTTCAATCAATCCCACGCATTCATTCTTTGCATCAGGCGCACCCCAATGGGAGCGCTACCAACACTTTTCGAGTGATCCAATCGTCCAATACTTCAATGAACCACAGCCATGCATATCTGCTGACTCATCGACATCCTTCACCTGTGCGTTAGATAAAACTGGGGGACTCATAAACGGCATGTTCCTGTGCATCGAGCTACCCGTTTTGACAGCCCCCTACGCCTACGTGAAGCCAAACCTAGGGTACATGCTGATTGATTCCATGTCCCTGTCCGTTAAGGGAGTAGAACTGGATCGGATGAGCGGCGTGGGGATGCTGGTCAAATCAGAGCTCTCTAAGCAAGCCGCACAGGCCGATGGGGTTGCCAATATGCTAGACGGGGTGAGCGTGCCCGAGGTGCTTATCGAACGCTTCGAGTGCACCCTCAGAGACGAAACTGCGGCAACTCACTGGCTCTTGCACGTTCCGCTGCCTTTTTGGTTTGCGAGATCGACCGTCAGCAACCCGTTTCCTCTGGGCGTGCTGGCCAGGGAGGACGCGGTTTTGCAGATCACATTCAGGAGTATCGCTGAAGTCATCGTGCCAGAGCCCCCAGAAAACACCACTCTGACACCCAAAATGTCACTCGTCACGAGCAATCTTTACATACCACCGGACGTTTCAAACGAGCTGCTGAGATCGGAGATAGACTTGACCAAGAAACAGCTCTTCCAACAGAACTTCTATCAGATTGAGACAGTAGATCTCGAGCTGCCGATACAGCGCCTGGAGATCATATGCAACAGACCCGTCAGACGGATACTGTGGACGGTCGTTGGACCCATGATGCCCGGATCCGCTATTATGACCGGGGCTATTGCAGTCTCAAGACTCGTATTCGACGGCCATGATGTTGCAGCTACGGCACCGAAAGACCCAAACACCGGCCTTAGCACCGACGCATTCTACTCAGAGATCGTGCAGCCATATCTCTATGGGTCCAGCAGCGGGGTGCCCGGGGTCTGCAGCCACTCGTTCGCCTTGAGCACAGCCGACAGGCCGTACATGGGACCCAAGCTGCCCCTCTACCCATTCTCAGCCAAGGATGCAGACTATGGGTCACCATACGCGGACCAGCCGAGTGGAGCTTTCGACCTTTCGTACACACGCAATTTTCTGGAGGTCCAGCTCAATCCAGAGGTGGTGCCGGAGGGGAGCAGCATACATGTTCTGTTTGAGACATACAACGTCCTGGAATACACCCTGGATGAAATGAAAACCCTGTACATCGATTAAAATCAACTGTTGGTTCAACAGGTTGGGACGAAACGAGCGCCTCTTGCCTGATTCAGCCTCAGCCCTAGGGGCCGGCACCGCCTAGCTGTGATCCTTTTGAACTCTCGAAAGGCCTCCTCTGTGCGACCTGACTGGTCAACTACCTCTTCTACTTCTACGGGGTCTACCTGCTCGAGCTGAGTCAGAAGCAGCTCCAGCTCTAGGACCTGAACGTTCAGGCGATGGTCCAAACGGATGAGGAGGTCGATCTCCAGCTCATTCATCTCTTCGAGCGTAATGCCTCCAATTTTGGCAAATTGGCCGTTGCGATCGTGGCTGCAGGGAGAGAAGAGAGGGGTAAATGTTGAAACTATTTGCATGCATGTGCAAGCCTTTGTGAATGGATGATAGCCAGCATAGGGTTGAATGATGGGGGAGGAACACTCACTCGTCGTCCAGGAACTTCGTCGCCAGAAGTAAAGCAGTAAGGAGTACTCTGTGCACGTTCTGAGCTGATGGAACTAGGTGATCGCCCCTTGGAAGGCATGCCCTCCTCACGTAAATTGCAGCTATGGGGCCACATGCAGGGGTGAAAGTCGTGTAAGTTGGCACTCGCTGTATGAATTGTGCAAGAGCCATACTGGGATGCTTTGCTGCGTCAAATTTGCTGAGCTTCCCCATTGTTGGATCCTTCAGCACGCCTAGGCGGCAGAAGGACCGCCTCAGCAGTTCCGGACCGTCCTCCAGCAGCTTGTAATCTCTAGAAAGCAGCCCCATCTCGAACTGGTGGCAGGAAGCCATAGCCTTGCGCTTCATTGCAGCTTACTGTGTCCGCTTAGTGGCTTAATCTGTAGTGTGTTCCTTTTCAGGAAGGTCGGAGTTTGAACAGTATTTGAAACCGGGTGACACGTATTAAATACAATCATTACGCGCGCACGAGTGAGAATTAATGTGCTGTAATTGTCGCACCAGTCGCGGTTTACACACCACCGAAGCGACCGGGCAAACACGAACTATCTAGGTGACCCAAACACAATCAGCGTTTCCGAGGTGGAAGGGGCTGCGCTCATAATAGGGAGATTGAAGTGCATCTATAAGAGAAAGAAGATGTCTCAGGTTCAGATCCACCCCACCATCCAGCACCTGCTGTCGCTCCCGCAGCCCGCCCAACGCACCCCAGAGTGGTTTGCAGCCCGCTACCAGCGTCTGACGGCGAGCGACATCGCCACCTCGCTGGGAGAAAATCCATATGAGCGTCCGGACATGCTCATCCTCAAGAAGACGGGGCATGGGGAGAAATTTGAGGGTAACGAGGCCACCCGCCATGGGCAGTTCTGGGAGGAGCACGTCCAAAACCTCTTCTGTGAGAGACTGGGCTGGAATCACTATGACAGCGGCCTCCTGCTCCATCCAACTATCGACTTCCTCGGAGGAAGCCCGGACGGACTCCTGTCCCGGCCGGACGGATCGGACTGTGCTCTCCTGGAGATCAAGTGCCCTCTCAGACGCCAGATCAAGCACGGGGAGATCCCTCCGTACTACACTGGCCAAGTCCAACTGTGCATGGAGATTGCCAACGTCGACAAGATATTCTTCGTGCAATTCCAGCCAGAGACTCTGATCAGCGACGAGATATTCTCTGTCCTGGAGATCGCACGCGACCGAGATTGGTTCGCCGAGAGGCTGCCAATCCTGAAGGCATTCTGGCTGGAGGTGCTGCACTGCAGGGAGTTTGAAGTGGAGCATGTCCTCGCGAGGATCGAAGCAGCCAAGAGGCCGAAGCGGGTCAGGGTCCCGAAGGTGGTTATCTCGATTGAAGATGAGGAGGAGGAGGAGGAAGTCCGCTGCATGATAGTCGTTCCCGATCAGAAGCATCAGCCTATTCCGAGGGAGCCGGTGCCAACGCCACCTTGTCTCATTCGATATCCATAGGATTTGTACCTTTTTTGATTTGTCTAAATATAGCATGCAGACTTTTGACACCCGGGAGGACATGATGAGAAATCTCGTCCCTGAACATGCTATTGTGCTAGAGATAGGGGTTTTTACTGGGGACTTTGCAGCCTTCTTGAGCTCGTTGCACCCGGCAGAATTGCACCTGGTCGATCCATGGTTTGGGAACCTCTGCAGCGGCAATGCCGATGGCAACAATATAAGATGCATCCCAGGAGATGAAGCCCATATGAAAGTCTGCAACCGGTTCAGAGATGATGCATCGGTGCGCATACACCGTGAATGGTCTCCCGCTGCTCTCGAACAATTTGCAGATCATACATTTGATGTCGCATACCTCGACGGAGACCACACGTTCGAAGGATCATACAATGACTTGAATGCGGTCCGTCCCAAAATCAAGGACGGCGGATTCATATGCGGGCATGACTTTGGCAAGAATCCAAAAAGGTGTTCATTTCAATATACGTTTGGAGTGCGAAAGGCGGTCGATCTATTCTGTAAGGAGACTGGAAATGTCGTGCTGGCAATTGCAAATGATGGGTACCAGTCATTCGCCATTCAAGTATCCGGAGCTCATTGAGTTTTTTGGGCGCGAATCAAATATGCCTTTCCCTTAATACCCTGAGTATATTGCAGCGTAGATTTTGCTGCTCCAGCAGCAGGTCCATCCCGTGGAGCCCCGCCAGCTTGCCCAGCTCCGGCGCCAGGGCCGCCGCCCCCGCAGCTCCACTCCCGTTGTACACCATGTTCAGGGAGGTGAGCCCCGCCAGCTTGCCCAGCTCTGGCGCCAGGGCCGCCGCGCCCGCCTCCCCAATCCCGGTGCACCTCAGGTCCAGGAAGGTGAGCCCCGTCAGCTTGCCCAGCTCCGGCGCCAGGACTTTCACCAACTCCAGATGAACATTATGTTTCACAGAGCCTACGTCCCCTCATCCAGAATCCTTATCAGTAGTTCATCTGACAGATCCAAGAGCTCAGACATGGTTCTCACAACGCGTCTACAACAACAACCCCGGGAACACTTCTGGAGACTCGACTCAGGCGTTGACATCAAGGGACCCTGGGACAAAAAAGAAGAGTAGTCAAGCATCTACATCATGGGTCCGCAAATTGTGAGTTAGATCAACCTGTCCAATGAAGCAGCCATGGTCTGGTTCAGCAGTGCACGTCCAAGTCACCAGTTGGATAGGGTATTTGTTCAACGTATTTTTCAATATACGAGACACAACACCTACACATAAATCATGACCTCGAAATTTGAAGCAAAAATCCAATGCGTGTAGAGCAGTTTCCAATTCTTCAAACACCCCCAGATTGATGGGGCAATCACATTTTGCGACCCGCTTTTCCAACATGTACAACGAGTCTTTTTGTTTGGGTGTTATGGTCTGGTACAAATCCATCACCATGTCTGTAACGTACTGCACTGGGTTTTGACAATCGCATTGGAACGCAGCTGCAAAAAGTTCCCAACCAAGGTGCAAACGTTTTGTCAACTACTTACATTGGGTCATGTCGATGCAGTACTTGCAAGTCCCACGATCTCTCGCAGCAATCGCCACATCCCTCTCCACGCTCAGACGTTTGAGCTCTCCCTGGAGCACTTTGATCTCCTGCTGTGCATTGCTCACCCAAACAATGGCCTCTGCAGTCACCGATGTGATCTGCTTGTCGCTCTGTAAAATCAGAGCAGCGTTCTCTTCCTTCAACTCCCTCACCAGAGCCTCAGCAAGCAACAATTGCCCCTCCATTTTAGTGACCAAAAGACGAAGAGACGCATTGTCGTTGCCCATCTCGTCGTATTATGCTTCCAGCATTAAAGAACCGTTCGTATCAGCAGTGGAGGAAAAGTAAAAGTGGAGGTCCTTCCTTCTTCTAGAATCTCGCACGCCGAGATTGGGAAATCTGCGAATCTTCGCCGACTCTGGACAGCCACACGATCATAAAGTCGCACATGGGCGAGATCCAAAATATCTGCCACTAGACTGCCACTTGTCTGCGACCGTACGGTAACGATTCCAGACGTAACAAGAACCGATATAAGTATTAGTTCCGTCATGTTACGGTTTAAGTCTGTTCCGTCATGCTACGGTTTAAGTCTGTTGCAACGTTCTCTCCAACATGCCAGCAGAGCTCTTTGTGTGGGGCGCAGAGTACTATGATCCTCCAGCTTCGTAAAGTATCACCTCTGTGGTGGACGTCCAATCACATTATCACGTTCTACAGCAATCTCGCTCAGTTGCTCATCTGTCAACGTGTTGAACATGGTAGCCAGACGGGCACAGTCCATGCGAATTCTTGCGATGGCCCATGGAATCCAAGTCGCCATCTTCATTTCAGCCTCTTCTACGGGCAGCAAGTGCGTGCAATATCTAGACCCTTCGCTTTTCCTGGATAGAGGCAGTGTAACGATTACGACCGGTTAAGCCTAACCTCGTTCTCGAAAGGATTTCGTTGACCTGCGGGTTAGCGAAACGGCGGTGGTT